TCATGTAGACGTTAGGAATCTGAACTTCCAGGATAATTCCAACCCTCAGCAAGAGCCTTGTTGTTCAAGACTTCTTCAAAATCAGCCCAATGCTTCATATCCTGATATTCTGAAAAAATTATGTTTTGATGAGGAAAGCAGAGAAGAGCACAGCGGATAGAGCAGTTATGCTGAGACAAGTATGGGGTGATACTCATTTGGGTACCCAAACCGTTATTCTGAGTCATTGCATGGTTTACCAGCTACTTGTCAAATGGAAAGTTGGTAGCACAAAGGACTAGCTGCTTGAAATAGCTCCCGGGGTTTGTCTACATGGTACAAGTGTGACAATACAAAACCTTACTCAAAAAATACGGGGAGAGACTGTTTGAAATCACACAGCAGATTTCATCACATCCTCGAGGAGGGTTTGAGTACTCTCATAAAACAAGTCCGTATCACAAGGTATGAAGTTGGTCAGATTAGACCAACTCACAGGAGCATCCTCATGTTGCCTCTTCTCTGAGATCACATAAGAACCCAGTTCTCTTTTCATTAAATGCAAATCCATTCTAAGTCTGTGGTCATGCATCCAATTATGTTAACACAAAACCATTCCCTTAATGTCACAACAGTTTTGGTTTCCTTTCAAAACAGCTAGACATTTGCAGTTCAAAGAGGCTGTACAGAGCATGGGAGAAACCGATGGAGCAGAGCCTGAATGGCTTCAGGGACGGGCAGGGTCTGACTGCACGGGGGCGAGCCAAGCCCAGCCTGCGGAGGTGACCACCCGAGAAAGCAGCAAGCTTCATTTGACAGGTACTGTTGCAATCAAGCAGCAGCTACTCGTTATGAACGAGTTACTCCAAAGGTGTCTCAGGGTTGTGGTCCTTCCTAACGGTGCTGTGACCTGAACCCCGGCCCGAGGGCACGAGTCGGAGCTGTTGTAGGGCGGTGGGGATGAGCAGAGCCAGCTCCGTTACAGACCAGTGCCGCTACTGGGATGTGCCGGGTGGTCTGGGACCTCCTCTGATGTGCGGTGGGAAGTCACTCTGCAGATGGCAGCGCTGGAGGTAATTTTGGGAATTGAGATGCCTGTGAAGAGACTGGGAGCTCGGGGACTGGAGGGGCAGAGACGGACTCGATCCCTGTTGAGGAGCACTCCTCTGGGGTCTGAGGATGGAAGATGAGGACGTTCTGCTTTCCCTCTACAGAAACTGGAGGAGAAAAGGAGAGCCCTGCCAGCGTCTGCTCTGCTCTTCCCTTTCCCGTCAGCCCTCCCTGGGCCGGTGGAGGAACCGGCGCCGGGTGTCTGCCCAGAAGGTGCCGGCACTGCGGGAACGTTGGCGGAGACCAGAGGGATGAAAGGATGGTGTGTCCATAGCGCCGCATTGCGAGTCTGCCAGCAGTAACAGCCTGTCAGGGAGGTTTGAAGTGCAAGATAAGCATTACCCGGCAGCGCTGCTTGGCACCTGCACGCCACCACACGTACTTTCCTGGGGGGCTCAGCGCTGAGCTGGGCTCGGCTGAAGAGCCGCAGAGGCTCAGCATCGGTGGTGGGCGGCCCCACGGGCCGTGGTGATGCTCTCTCCCGCTCTGCCTCTCCAGGGGGTTGTGAACAACTCCTCTGCTGCACCGTCCCGGGCCCCCCGCCTGCTCCTGGTCCCTGCGGCGGGCTCCGGGCGGCGGGGGTCTGGCCGGCGGTGGGGTGGGTGTGCGGGGCAGGGGGCAGGGGGCGGGTGGCATCGCCCGGGGCAGCGCTGCGAAGGGGACACAGGGTGCCCTGGTCCTGCTCTTTGCTCTGATGGGAGATTTTATTTGTGTCTCCTCTCAGCGTGTTTGGAGATGAGTCACTGGGTTTCAGAGACGTAAGAGAGGGTTGCCTGAGGAACTGAAATGCACTCGGTTTGTTTTCAGAGGCACTTAGCGGGGTGGCTGTGAGCAGGAAAAGGGGAAGAGGCTTTGAGTCACTGTGGTCCCCGCATTACTCAGCGTGCTGTACCAAGTAAGCAGATGCCATCCCCGAGACACTTCTATCAGGAAAAAGGAGAGCGCTTTCACCCTGTCGTACTTTGCTTTGTTAACTTTTTTTTTTTTTTTTGTGAACAAGCACCACGGAGGAGGCGAGAGAGACATAAAGTGTGAGCAGGGTCAGTGCCACCTCTCAGCCTGGAGGGATTCCCCCTGGATCTGTCTCATCCCTCTTCTTGGAGGTGAAGGATGGATGTCTAAAACAGTCCCCGTTGTGCTGCTGTGACAAGCAACACACATCCGTCCCGCTTTGTCTGCCAGGAGAGCCACGGGGACCACAAACCTTCCCCGAGGTCTGTGGACCAGACGCTTTCTGACAGGGCATTTCTCTGTTGCGAGGTGCTGGTTTTCCGTTTTTTTTCCGATGGGGATGTACCATGCTGTACTGCAGCAATCCAGGGCACCGAGCGGGTCCCCCGGAGCGGTGGGAGCGCCGTGGCACCGGGAGTTCCTCTGCTCCGGCAAACGCCTTCAGGAAGGGCCGGGAGGGCAGAGCGCCGGGCAGCTCGCCTGCCGGGGAACAGCGGCAGCAGTTTGGTGTGGAGAGGGAACATCAACTGCAAACGTGAGCTTCTGTGGCGCTCAATAGCACCTACAGACTGACACAGCTTGAGCTTGAGCCAGAATATGTTTGTTTTCCATTGCAAGTGATCAGTTTAGGAGTACCTGCCAAATAGAAAAATATTTAGTTATCTTTTAGTTCAACGGCCCGTCCCACCGTGCTCACTGCGTTACTCGCCCTGAGTTTCTGCCAAGATCATGATGTGATCTATAGTGCTCCACAGCCCAAAACCGGACTTGTTTCCAGTGTAAGAGGAGACACAGGTTTCTTTTTTTAAAATGATACTAATTTTAAAAACTCATTGTGCTTCTTTCGCAATCCCTTACTTAGAGGCTGTTCTCTTTTCCGTGGGCGGCGCTCCCGGCCGCAGCCGGACACCCGTCCCTGCGCCTCCGCCACCGGCAGGGCCGGTGCCGTGTGCCCCCGGTGCTGCCGGTGCCTCTGCCGGCCCTCAGATGGGAGCCGGGTGTCTGAGGCACGTGTGGCAACGCTGTGTAACGCCGCAGAAGAGGTCTCCACTGAGAAAAAATGAACATAACATGTACATTTTTATTACCAAATCCCAGACTGGTGAGGGCTGGAAGGGCCCTCTGGAGCTCCCCCATCCCACCCCCCGCCAGAGCAGGGGCACCTCCAGCAGTGGCACAGGACGGCGTCCAGGCGGGTTTGGGATGGCTCCAGAGGGGGAGACTCCCCCACCTCTCTGGGCAGCCTGTGCCACTGCTCTGCCGCCCTCACAGCAGAGAAGGCCCTCCTCAGGTGGAGATGGAACTGCCGATGGTCACCTTTGTGCCCGTTCCCTCTTGTCCTGTCACTGGGCACCGCTGAACTTCTCTGTTCTGAGAGCGACAGCCCCGCTTCTCCCTTGTGAAGGTTCAGATGCCAGCTGGGGTTAACTGTGACAAACTCTGGTTCCTTCGTAACGTGACCGTCCCCGCGGTGTGTCCAGCCATCTCCACTGACAATGAGCGTGGTGCAGAGGAGCCCCATCGGGATGCCCAGCCTTGCCGGCAGCGGCTCCCCGCCCCCGCC